CAGGGGGGTGGGGGGCTTCATCCAGCCCACCTCCAGCACCGATGGGCTTTGGTCCCCGTGGGAGCCCGGCTGGCCAATGCAGCCCCCCACCTCCACGTCCCTGGGCGGTGGCTGGAAGCATAAACTGCAGATTTTGGTTTACAGAATAGAAAAAAGTTCCTTAGCAAACTTTGCACAGTGATATTTGCTCAGTACCTTTGTTGTTTTTTTTTTCTTTTTCTTTTTTTTTTTTTTTTTTTTCTCATAAAATACTGGAACAGTGAACCAAATCACTGAACACCTAATGTTGAATTAGGAAGCGCCCATTCCCACGGGCTCCCCTGAGGAGGGCAGCTCCCGGTCCCGCCGCCCCTGGGGCCTGGCTCTCATGCCATCGCAAGCCTACTGGAAAAAAAAAAAAGAAAAAAAAAAAAAAGAAAAAAAAAAAAAAAGACCAAAACAGTATTTTTGTTAGTCTCTATTTATATATGCTCTCCATGGCACTGTGTTACCAGCTGTTGTCTGTACTAGGTCTGCATTAGAGTATAACGCTGTTTGTAACGGGTGATGCTGACGTGTTCGTTAGGGTGTTGAAAGGCACTTTATCCTTTGGGGCCTTCCCGGGGCTGGTATTTGCTCCCTGCAAACACACCAAGGAGCCTTTTCGCCCCCTTCCGCGGGCTCCCCCCCCCCAAACCGCCCCACGCCAAGGGTGCTCGCGGCATCGCTGCCGTGCCAAAACAGGGCTCGTCCTCTATCTCCAGAGGCGAGGTAGGGGGCTCATCAGCCTTAAAGCCATGCGGAGGGCTAACCCTCCCGTAGGAGCTTGGTGCTAAACTCTCAGCTGGGAGAGCGAGTAACCCGTCGCCCTGCCAGGGGCAAAATTCGGGGCCGGGGTCCCTCGCCGGCGCAGTGGGATCCCGGCTGGGACTCTACCTCGGCTCCGCGCTCACATCCAGGGGCTGCCTGCGTTTCGGCTCACCCGGGGACCGCGCTGGCCCTCGAAGGACCGAGTGTCTTGATGAAGCCCTGAGTGACCCTGTGACTTGGCGCGCACACTTTTTCGCTGGCCTTCACCCCGTCCCCGTGTCGCCTCCTCCCCGTTCCCCCATCGCAGTTCGAACCATGTTAACTCCCGCTCCGGCTTCTTCCGTGTGACACTAGGTCAACATCTCTCCTGTCTCCTCTTATCGGGTGTCGTGACTCTGAAAACCATCTCACTCTGAAAATTTTAAGTTTTGGGTTTGTTCGTTTTTTCGGTTTTGTTTTTTTTTTTTTTTTTATTATTATTTTTTTGTAAGTGCCATTTGTATAACTTAAAAAAAATAGCTTCAAATGGAGAAAGATGAATAAAAAATAAAACCTGCATTCGGATACAAGCAGTTGTGTGTGGTTCTGCGTGAACGTGAGCATGGAGCATTTGGGGTGGCGGAGCCTCTGGGTGCCAAATTGCTTCACAAAGCTTGAGCTGGCTCTAGAAAGCTCAGATATGAGTTGGTGGGAAGGGAATGGTGACCAACAAGCTCATTTCCACTTAAAGCCGAGGCTGGATCACCTCTGGAGATGCTCGGAGCACCCCAAGCCACTGAGGCCAGGGGCATCTTTGAGGATGGGTGCCCCATGTGTGGGTCAGGGAGATGCGCCAGCAAACCAGCTCTCCTGCCCTTGGAGCTGGGAGCGAAGCTGCGAAGAAGCTGCTTTTTTTCCCCTCGGGTTCAGATATTTTCCCCCCCAAACGATGGCCGTGAGGGGGAGGCACCTGCTGGGAGGGAAGAGCGATGGGATGCTGGTTTTGGATACATGGCATGGTGGGGTGCAGCAATAAGCCCTGTCCTCCTCTGCTTGGTTATATGGAGAAGGGGAAGATTAAAAAAACCAAAAAACGTAAGGATGGGAGGGAGGTGGGAAGCCCAGCCCAGCCCAGCCCAAAACACAACATCCAGCCGGAGCAGCTGGGATGTGCCCCCAGCCCTCCTGAGACAGCCAAAACCAGCCCTAAAACTCCACCAACCCGCTCAGGTTTGATGCTGGAGCCAACCTCAGTTTCGGCGACGAAGACGGGGCGCAGCGCGTGCTTACGGAGGGGCCGGGGGCCAACTCCATCACCCGTGCCGAGAGCAGCCAGCCCCTTCGCTGCCCGTCATCTCCCGCAGGTCACTGACGGGCTCCCGTTTGGTTTTTAAAATCTAAAATCGGTATAGGAGAGACCTTCAACTTCAGACAGGGGTTTAAGCACCGCGGCAAGGGCCGAAGGAAGGAAGGATGGTCGTGCCTTAACACAAACGGGGCAAAATTAAGGCTGTGCAGGGAACGCCGAGCAGCTCCCATCGCCACGCACTCATCGCGCCGGTGACATTCCGCGTGTGCACGAGCAAACCCGGCCGTGACACCGGGACTGGGGAGGAGGCAGGCGGAGGGGGGGTTGCCGGCACAGGGAAGGGGCTCCGGAGCCGCTGGACCGCGGCCGGGAGGACCCTCAACCTTCCCCTCTCCCCCAGTCGCCAACACACATTTCCTTTTGCTTTTAAGGCCGGATTCTGCGTTTACCATTGCTCCTGCAAGAGGGGAAAAGCCCCCCCCATCCTTTCCCCCCACGCATCCTGGTTTCCATTTAAAGGAGTGACTGGAAACCATTTTCTATCCCATCCAGTTCTTCCTCGGGAGCATGTGGAACGTATTAAGCCTTTTCCAGGAGGGTCAAATGGGTTTTGCCTCGTAACTGGCAGAGTTTTCAACCACGCAGGCTGAGATCTGGCAAAACCGCCCTGCCGCCTCCTCGTCCCTGCTGCTGCCTGTCATTAGCCCCAGCACCAAGCGGCAGAGTCAGGATGGAAGGACAAGGTTTCGGCTGTAACGACAGCACAGAGGTAAAAGCCAGAGTGCACAAATTTATTTACAAAAAATTCAAATTACAATATAATACAGGAACTTTTTACACACAGAATATTAGAACAGTTTACTACCAGAAGGTAAAGAAAAATATTTTTTTGTTTTTTGTTTTTTTTTTTTAATAAACCACCTATTTATTTTCCTCTATTGTTATACAAAGTTGCAGAACATGCACATCTTTACAGGGTTTCTTTCTTTTAATATAATGTTTTGCTAAGTGCAAATACTAAGTTTCTCTCTCCACCTTTAAGGCAAGTAAAGTGGGACACTGCAATTAACCGTAAGAAGTACCTGTTATGGAATCAGCCTGGGCACAGCAACCTCCAAGTCGCCTTTTAAAGGACAAATGGTTTCAAGGATGGTGGGGTGGGTGGGAAAACAGGTGCAGGAGTTAGAGACCAGATCACGGATCGCTCTGGTGGTTGTGCAGAAATTTTGGTGTTTTTTTTTTTATTTTTTCTTTTTTTAAAATAAATCAACACAGATCCAAGTGCTACCAGCAACCACAACTCGAGGTCTCTCAGGTTGGAGGGGAGAAGCAGCGACGCGCTTTGGCTGCAGAGTAATTTTTGGTGAAATGGGTGTTTCCTCAGGAAGAGAAGCAGCATCGGGAGCCCAGCGTCGCCCCAGGACCGGGTGGAGGACTAAGCCCATCGCTCGGGGCTGCTGGGCACACTGCATCTCCCCATCACAGACTGAGCACCGATTTCTCTCCTCTTAGACAAAAAATAAGCTCACGGTTTTGCAGGGGACATGAGGACAGCGGTCCTCTCTCCCCCTACCTCTACCAGGCTCCTCCAGGACCGCGACCGCTGCACCACGGCAGCAGAAGACCCTCATGTCCCAAGCAGGACGGACCACAGACACGAACCTCTCCACGCCACCTCTGCCCAACGTTTCTCCATCCCTCTCGCTCCATCTCTCGCTTCCCTCCACCAAGGCTTAGTTCTTGACACTCGCGCATGTCAAGACACCAAAAAATGGGATTAGACCATCGGTTTTTTTGCTCGTGCTCCCAGCTACGTAGTGCTGTGCGACACGTCACGTTTCCTTTGTAGTTTGGGCCACCGGTTCAGCAGCTGAGCCCTGGCTGCCCGACCCCCCCTTTGCACAGGCAGGTACTGGGGGACAACCACGACCGCCCTGCCAGAGAAAGGCACGTGCTTTAGAAAGCCTCAAGGGCTCATCCAAGCCAGCGCTGGAGCCCAGAAAAATCTCAGCTATTAAAAAAAAAAACCAAGATTCCCTTTCCATAAAGGGAAGCCACCCATGCTGCTTCTGACCTGGGTCCATTTTCTCACCACCCGCTGACACTGTGAATCCAGCCCTCCCCAAATCCAACGGGACACCCTGCTCCTGGCTACCGCAGGAATCACTTGGTGCAAGGTAGGACTTACATGTGGCTAAACCCCAGCTGAGCAGCAAGCGATAAGCTCCTGCAGCCCCCAGACTACTTCCAGAAAGAAATAAAAATTAAAAAAGCAAACGATAGCAGCAAGGGAGTACCACTTGGTTATTAATGCTAGAGAGACCATGGCACTGAGGAACTGGAACACACGCATGTTCAACCCAGAGGGAATGCCCCAGAGGGGAGAAAGTGCTGACTCGGCTCCAAAAAGCATGGAAGTCCCCTCTGGGAGACCCTCGTGGGGACACCCGTCCCCAGATGCTGTCCTGGGCCACGCTGGAGGCTGCCTCCCTCCAGGAGCATCCCACTGCCAGCCCCGCGCCCATCACCCACGCACGCCCAAGGAGATGCTGTGCCGGGAGCAGTGAGCAAGGATTTTGGCAGAGGCAGGGAGTTTTACCTGACAAACAAACAAAACCGAAAGACACCTAGATGCTTAAATTCCGGGAGGATTAACGGGAGGGGAAATGCACCCAGCGGGTTCCCAGCAGGACAGAGCAGGATGTGGCCCAGAACAAACCACTCAGGGAATGACAGCACAACCGGGCTGCTAAAAGCTAGCCCAGTGTTTCTGGGAGGAGGGTTTTTTTTTTTCCATTCCAACCATTTTCTTTTCTAGAGGGGGCCTGTACCAGACAGTACAGCCAAGGGCTGTGGGGAAAGGGCTTTGTGCCAACGCTCCTCCCGCAGCCCAGCGACTACACCCTCCGCTTCTTACAAGGAAGTTTTGCTTTTCCTAAACCCTCGCTTCCTAAGCCCAGCAATACTCAACGTTTGCCTTTTAACACGCTTTTCCAAAGCCAATTAAACTGAAACACACATCTTCAGAAGTTATTAAGCGCCACAGAAGCTGCCAGCTTCCTGCAGCACAAGGCTATGGCTGCCCATTCGGTTGCAGGGGGTTCAGCTAAGGGGGCTCCCGGCTCACCGCCGCCTGCACGCACGACTACAGGGGTAGTTCCTAATTTTTCTGCCACAGCACACATCACACACCACTGTCTACACATCTAACTGGGTATTTGCCCAAGTAGTTTCTGCAACGAAGGGTGCAGCTTAGGCTCTGGGTGCTTCTACCAGCTGTTTGGGGACTGCTGCCAAAAGCAGGGGGAGATTGAGATGAGAACGGCAAAGCAAAGGCCACATTTTGGAAGCTAAGAGGCACCCACCTCTGGGGGAAAAAAACCTGAGCCCTTCAAAGGGGGCAAGTTCAGTTCAGCCAAAGATCAGGGTGCCCGAATCTTCTGCTACTTGCTAAAGCCCTGAGACAGAACGCAGCTCCGGGCTTCCTAGCAAGATCTCAGCAACGAGGTGGCTGCTACATCCCCTCACTCCACTTGGAGAGCGAGAAATGCTAAAAACACTAGATTGATTTGATTTTGAACAATTTATTTCTGCTGGGAGGTGCTAGCAGGTTACAGGGATGCTGGGGAACATGGGAAGCCCAGCCTCATGCCTCTCCGCAGGCAGAAGGCTAGGGCGGCCGACTCCGGTTATCTTGCTCCTGAAGGTCTTACTCAGAGGCCAAGTCTCTCTTCCCTTGCCCCAAGACTCATTTGACTCTGCGGCAGCTGCTCTGGCCGGCAGGAAGGTAGGACTTTTGGAAAGTCCCCAAGGAACGGCTGCATCCCTGCACTCCACAAAGCCTCACTTTCCCTCCCAATAGCTGCCTGAACAGGCTTTGTCAAATCAAAATACCTGGATGCCCAACATAGGGAGAGACCCCTTGGAAATGCAGCACCAAGCCCTGTTGGGTTGAAATGTTTGATCGCAAAGGTTCAGAGAAGCTCTAGAGAGGAGTGCAGCGCAGGTTACGCGCGAGTCACAGCAGGTCCCCTCGCAGCTGGCTAAACCGAGAGGGGCTGGAGCAGGACGGGGGGGTGACGTTACTGGGGTAGCTCTGCCCTGCAGTGACTCTCTGCCAAGTGCTGTAGGAACCAGGTCAGAACCGGTGTCGAGGCTGAGGGCCAAAGTGCATAGGCAAGTTGTGCTCCAGCTGAACATTGATCTGGGGAAAATCATAGTTCACCCTCATGTTAGGTAACGGGGGGACGTAGGGGGCAGGGATAGGGCCGATGTTGAGGGGGATGTTATTGTACATGGGACGGACAGGAGGGAGCGGGAAGGGAGGGTGCACAAAGGGATAAGGGGGCATCCGGGGTTGATGGAGGTTCTGAGGAACAGGTCTGGGGATGACTTCAATTCTCTGGATTTTCTCCATGGGCTTTTCCGCAGGAGGGCCAATCCGCTTGAAGCTGTTCTCTGCAGAGGGAAGAGAGAAAAGAACCCGGTCATCCCAACAAACAAAAACTCACCATGCTTGGTCCGTGGTCTTACATTTGCAATCGGCATCCTCCACCCTGAGCATGTTCCTTACAGCATCACTGCTTGCCCCTTCCGTGCTCCAGACACCATGGAGCACAGCACTAGCTTTCCAGGTTGGCTCCTTTCATCAATACCACACCACAAAGAGGGGGAAACACCTCCTTTCGCAGGGATGTGGGGCAGCTCCTTGTGCCCTCCTCCACAAAAAACAGAGGTTATGCTGCCCTTCAGCTACTTTGCCAAGTGGAGAAGAGACAGGTCTGTGCATCCATGACACCCGGCGCCAACCGAGAGCTGGACACAAGCCTCGTGCCTCCCCACGGTCCCAGCTGAAGCCTGCAGGCAACAGCACTTTAAAGCTAGACTGGTTCCCAGGAGGAACAGGGGGATGGCTTGCACTCCTCTCTGGAGCAAGATCTGGGTGATGCTTGGTGCAGCACAGCAATGCACGGAGAAGCCTGCAAGCAGTCAGGCCGTGGGAAGAATCCAGCGTAAATCCAGAGTCTTGTCAATAGCTGGGAACTTTGTGGTCTCCTGTTGTCCTCAGTCTGATCTTAAAGCACAGGTCCAGACTGTGACTTACCTCCGTTCTTCTTCCTTTGCTCCTCTTCAGCCTCTTTCTGAATCTCCTGGATTATCTTCTCATCATCTTCCTAGAAATCACAGGAGTATCAAGAGTCAGTGGGCTAATTCCTGCTGCAGCAACCTTCTGTTCTCTCAGTGCTGCTTTTCTTTTCAGCATGTGTTTGCATGGGAATAAAAAGGTAAATTTGGCTGAATTGTCCTCATTTGGAGTTGACCCAGGTTTAACCAAAAGCAAGGCTGCCATGGGGGACTGCAGCACAAGCAACTTGCACAGAGCCAAGCCTACTCTAAGGAGTATGATGAAGAGGCTTAGATCAGCTTTCCAGGGAGATCAGTGCTAAAATTCATTGACTTGATGGAAACCAGAGAACTGCAACCCAGCGACGCCCATCTGAAGAGTTACTGGAGAGCTGTTAATCTTTTAAATGGCAATAGTCTATTAAATATTTACATTATGCTAGCACTTCTAGAGTTTTTGGCCCAACAGCTGGAATTAACACAACTTAAATACTGGCTCTAGTAGCTAAACGGTGCTGTGACAAGGCCATTTAGATCTTATCTGTAACTCTGAGGAGGGCATAAATCGCAACATGTTTCTTTAATGTCTATCTAGAGGTTATAACAAGAATATTCAGACTCGCTGCTCAACAAGAACACAAGGACAAGCCAGAAATTGAAAGCATCCTTCTGTCTCTCATCACCTTCAGTTTTCTCAACCCAAAGGAGCAGCAGTGAGACCAAACAGCAGAGTGAAGCCTCAGGTGGCTGACTGCAGGTATCTAGAGAGACGGCATTTACGCCACCTTCTACTAGAGCAAGGGAGCACGATGGACAAAGTCCTGGAAGAGGACTATGCAACTCCTGAGCCAGGAGAGGCTGGCCTGGAGGGATGGTGGCCATGGGCACCAACAGCCCATAGGGTCCAGGCAGCTCTCAGGCTTTACACAAGGCCATGCCAGCGTTGGCATAAAACCAGTGAATCACCCCAATTCATGCTTCAGCATCAGCTGTCCACTCCCAAGCAAGGCTGTGAAAAATGAGCTTCTTCACTGCACAACAGCATGCAACAGCTATCAGGGTAATAAAGATCACACCAAACAACCCGAGAGACAACTCTCTTTTAGTGCCAGGCAGCAGATGCTTCTGCCGGCCATATGTGCAGCGATGGCAACAGAGGTCCTCCCGGTCTCTGCAGGGTTGCATCTGCTGCTGCTTCGTGTCCGTTGGGAAGAAAAAATACCTGGCACTTGCAGAAAACAAATGAGAATAGCTAAGCCTCCTCGACAGTGTTTGTAATCTTGGTGTAAAGTTATTAGGGAAGAAGGCCAAGAACAGGAGCTGTTGGATGACACACAACACCTGCATCAGGCATCAGCCACTCTAGGTCTACCTGCCTACGAAGAAGCATTTGGTTTGCTTCAGCAGTTCATCTGCAAGCACTAACGGTGGAGCCGGAGGGAAACCCCAAGCCCCACGTACCCCACGATGTGCAAGACTCAGCTTCATTTTATTCATCCTAATTTCAGTACTGCCAAACCCCATAAATTTCTTCCTGAACACTCTTAATGTGGAAAATATCCTCTATTTTGAAGAGTGCTCTGGGACCAAATTCGAAATATGCTCCATGTGTGCAGCTACGTTGAAATTATTTTAAGTCTAGCCAGCTTCCCAGTTCCAATCTCATGGTCCTGCACATGTCTAGCAGCAACGCCTGGAGGCTTGCTAAGATGTCCCCTCCTCCCGCCACCAGATAAGGTTTCCCTGGGAGACTGAAGTTATCTTAATCAGCAGAAAGCAATCAAACTCAATACTTCCCTCCCTTTTATTATTCTGTGAGTCAATGGTTAAAATTAAGACTTTCTAGGACATGCTTTTTTTTTTTTCCAAACAGGCTGATTCCATGGACAGTTAATTACAGCCTATCTATCTCCATAAAAACTGCTGAAGAATGGCTCTTCTGAACCTATACAGAACTTCTAATTACCCCCCAAGTATCAGATTGCAATGTTCCCTGCCTGGAAAACAACCTGGGCATGATCCGCAACAGGCAACCAAACATCCTCCGCTCCTTTGCTGCCCCAGTAGCACTCTCAAAGGGTGGCCTCTAAGCTTCAAGATTTCAGTATTTTTCTTCTCAGACTATTTTTTGCAATCCTGTTGAAAACAGAGATAGCCACCTCTCCCATCTTACTGCCACTTGCTGGTAAAGATGCACCTGAAAGGTTTTTAGTTATATGACAAGTAAGAAATGTATTTTAAGCTCAACTGAACAAGAATACCCCTATCTCCTTCCCTCACACAAAGGCATAAAGCCTCACCTTAAAGCCTAGAAACATGCAGAGGTCCCTTCTAACTTAAAAAAAACCCTTTTACTTTAGTCTAAGTCTGGGACTAACCCTTTGAAACAGTGTTTTCCAGGGACACCACCATCCTGCCACCACCACCCGTGATGCTGCAGCTCCTGCAAACCCTGCTGTTGATACTGGTCAGTCCTGCAGAAGGCTGGGGAATCGGGACACATCAACAACGCAACTTTACAAGATCCTCCTGCAGCAAGGGCTACTCCACCCTCCCAGTTTAAACTGCAGCTGACCTCCACACTAATGAGGGATCGACAAAGCCATCTGCCCCTGGGGTTGGCAAGCCAGCTGCACGCACACCCAAGGTGATGCTGGCTTCAATTACTGCAGCTCCCAGAGCACCAGGGAAACACATAACAGCAAACCCCATCTGCCAGATCTCCGAAATGACGTCAACCTCGCAGGGACAACATAAAACACATCACCTCAAACGCAGTAGCCAGAAATCCCTACTCAACTCCATCCCCTCTTGGTCTTCAAGAGGAGGCACACCTTGCAACACACCCTGGATGCAAAAAAACTGCCAAGAACAGACCTGGATCAGGATGATGAATTCCTGACACTGCAAATCACAGCAGAGGCATAACAAACTACATCTCCAAGAACAGAAGTTTTCAGCTTTGTTGCTTCTCTGCTGATAAAAGTGTATTCTCACGTTGGAAGGTCAAGCAGTATTTATACTTAACCCCAAATACCAAGCCTTGGCTTAGAATTCTCTTGCATTAGTATTTCTGAAAAACTGGTATCCACTAATAAAGGAAGAACAAAAATACACTGTACTTCCTACTTAAGAAGCTGACATTAAATTTGGCAAGTGATGAATACACAGCACAGTTCAATACCTGCAGTATTCAGGAAAGATCCACATCCCAGCTGGAACAAAGAAAATTGATGATATGTGCATAGTAAGACAATTTTAGGATATTCGTGAAGGAAAGCTGATGCCACAAGTTCTGGCTATTACATATTGTACTGGGACAGGTCAGAATTAAAAAACAAGTCTCAGTCCTGCAAACATTCACCATGTACAACAGTAATTTTTGCAAAACACCGCAAATTCTTTGAGAAGCAAAGGCTGGTTTTTTGATTCCACAGTTAATTGGAGAGAGGTGACAGATTCATCTGGGGTAAAGCATCCACACCAAAAATTAAGTTTTCATTAGCGCACTTATGGCTGGCTGTTGTGGTAAGAAACCATTTAATGTCACATGGGGTGGAGGTTGCAGTACAATTTCAAAAGCCTCTTGTGTCCATTTTCCTGAGCGGGTTCAAGTCCCTTAATAAAGGATTAGATTATAATTTTAATAGCCTGTTCACAGGCTGTGTGGATTGAAAGGACTTATCTTGTCAAGTTAACAGTCATCCTCCTGTCAGCTGCCTTGCCTACAGCAAAAAAAAAAAAAAAGAAGAAAGAAAAAAGGCAAAAAAAGCAAAAAAGCAACCCCCCCAACCCCTGGGGGGGTCTCAGCACTGGCCAGCCCACATGATTTTTGAGCAAGGGTGTAACTTGGCTCTCCTCCTGAGAGAGAAAATGCAGTGCAATGCTATAGCACAGCCCTTCCTCAGGCTCCGTTGCATCACGGGAGAAGGGAGGTGGCCAAGAGAAAAATGCAAAGGATCTATGAGATGTATTCACCCTTCTTATCTGCAAACACTGCAGAAAGCAAACGCTGTTATTAATAGCAGCTGTATTTTTAAGCGGCAAAACGGGACCAAGCTTCGCCCCAAACCCAACAGCAGGATGCTCTTTGCAGGAACCATCCCCAGTCCCGTAGCCAAAAAAAGCGTTTGTCCCCGGCCAGTCTGAGAGCCTGCCCTTGCGATCCCCGACCTGCGAAAGGATCTCGGCACGGAGGAGGCTTTTCCTTTCAGCCCTCTCCCACTGAATCCAGGGAACGTGGCGAGCACGGAGCCAATCGCAGCAGAAAGGATGGCTCGGGTCTGTGGATGGATTAACTAAAGAGCTGGGTTGGGTTGCTAAGTGAGGCACCTTTTTGGGGCAAGGAGGCCCGTTTCAACAACGCTGGTCCTGAGAAGCTGCGTCCAGCATCCACGCAGGGCCCTGCACACGCACAGAAAGAGCCACCGGAGCAACAAACAGCCCATCGGGAACATGAAAACACAGCAGCAAAGGAGATAAAAGCTCCACCAGTCACACAGAGACAACCTCTCCCCAAATAAATCCTCCTCTGCCCAGAACAAAAGTGCCAATCCTGGAGCTTTTGAAAGCTGTTTTTATCTACTGTGCTTCTTGTTATCTTTAATTATTAAGTGTCACGGGAAAGCGGCTGCCCGCCTCCTGAAAGAGGGAAAACAAGAGACCTGGTAACTATTTCTGGGCTGTGCAATCCCTCCCCTGTCTTTAGAAAGTGCCTTCACCACCATCGCCTCCCCCTTTCTGGCTTTTTACTGCTTTCTTTTTCCACGTACGTGTGGCCGCAGCCGTTACTAATAAACTTGAAATGATTTTTCACGACGGAGGCTTCCAAAGGACTAAGGGGTTTTGTTTCAAATCATTCCCAGATCAGCTGCGGAGAGCCTGAGCAAGAACAGGCATCGGCTGTCTCCAGCGTGTTCCTCCATGCAGCAGGAAGCAGGGGATAAAAGCAGGCTGTGTTCTAACTGGAACGGGGCATCCGCAGCGCTGCAGGAAAAGGGGGGCCAGGATGGGGACGAAGCACACGCTGGCGTTTCAGAAATGCAGAGTTATTTTAGCAATAGGCAATCCATATTGATGGCTTTCTGGATTAACTGCGTGCTTATGATTAAGGCATTTTATAGCATGTCTAAAAAAAATAATAAAAACACCACACCCTCAGTTTAGGGGTGCTTCTCCCCCTCCAAATCCTAAAGGCAGTGCTGTGTAGTTCATGCATTTCCTTAATGCATTTGAAGTTTTACACAGTCTTCGCTCAACATCTTCTTTTTATAAGGCTAGAAGGAGGGATAACTGCAAACACCTTATAATGATTAGTCTTCTGCTTTGAACTTTAATGATGGGCCTTTGGGAGTGTTTTAAGAGTTTACTGAAAACATCTTAAACTTTAAAGCCAAAAAAGCCGCTATGCAGTATTATTGATAGTCCAAAGATGAGTATTAAATTATAATACATATGAGATGTAAAAATAATACGTACGAGAGCAGAACCTGGTTTACCAAAACAGTCAGAATGCATTAGTCACATTGCATCACGGGATTTGTCCAAACCGGCTAAAATGCACGCAGCAGCCTCAGGTTTGCTACAGATATTTAGAAAACAGGGAAAAACCAGCCCCTGAGTCCCAGAGCCTGCTGTTTGCAGAGCCAATTCTCACTGCTCCGTCCCGAGCTTTGTCTCTGGCAATATTGCATCAGCCCCTCCTGCAGCCAGCAACGTCTCAGCGAGCCGAGCCAAAGCTAGCACGGGCTGCAGAATAGGCACACGAGGGCTTTTGGCCAAGCGGCTTACTGAGAAGAGCTCCTGGCACGTGTTCATATCCTACAGGGGTGCAGGGCACCGATTAGCTCTAGAAGAAATGCAGCGATTAAGCGATTACCGCCTGCTACCCTGGAAGCTGCTGACCACAGCCCGATTGCAGCTTGTCTCTGAGCCAGCAAATATTGCATCAATACTTTTAAATTAGACTCCAGTCTGATTACAGCACAGGGACAAGATTTTAGCCAACCTTTTATTATGGGAAATTTTGAAGTGTCTGCTTTACTCTCTCAAGATCATTTGAGACAAAGACTAACAGATGCTGCAGTTCCTAGAGGACTGTCTTTAATTTGTTTTTAACCCAAGCTAATGACTAGGTTTACTTATACTTTTGCAAGAATCATTTCAGACTCAGAAAACGTTAAACATTTGGAAAAGAACAAAGGTTCCCTACTTTAAACAAACCTGAATTTTGCTGTAAATAATGGGGAGTTAGACCCAAACCAGATCCTTCACAAAGGATTATCCAGATCTGACAGAAAGCTGAAGTCTACATCCGTGAAATGCAAATGGACAAGACCATGGTACTGTGACTATGCCACCGGTTTGCTGTGAAAATGGTTTTAAGTTAAGGCTGTACATGAATATATCGGAAATCAGAACAAAAACATCCTGTCACCCTCTGGAAGCCAGGCTTTGGTGCCACACGTGCGCCCTCCCCATTTTGCAGCAGAGCCTAATCCAGGGAGAGGAGCAGCAGCTCCTAAGCGATGGGCTGCAAATTCCACAGGTGATGAGACAACCCGGTCTTGTCTTCTCTGTACTTGCATGCACAGCATGGCTGCAAACATGTGCGAGCCCGTAACAGATACTCTCTTCCTATACGCACAGTATCAGCTGTCTATTTACTTCAACAGAATAGAAGACATTGAGCCAAAAGAGGAAACAGAGGAGTTGAGAAAGGCACAAGAAGATGCCAAAGCAGCTGCCAGCAGAGCAGGGATGGGGTAATCCCTTGGATGGACAGCATCCCTGACAAACGACAAGACACTACAGATACAATAGCCTTTTGCTCTTTCATATCCCCATGTCAAGATTCCAATTCATTCCCCCTCTTCACACCTACCATGTTAACTCCTGTTTACGTGTCCCACACGAGAGTGTAGATCTCCCAGTAGGGACTGCGTTAATGTCACTAAGCCCCTTACGAAGGGGGACAACGCACACAGGCATCCGTCACCTCAGCCTTAGAAGCCAAAAGTTGAGTTTCATGTTATTCTTTGCACTGCAGCAAGGACAGTCACCCAGCTTTACCTCCCCAGCACACTAGGGCTCCATCACCCCAAAAAGAAAAGGAAAAAAAAAACCAACCCGACCCAGAGCAGGCAGTGCCAGCTCTTTGCTGACGGTGGGAAATTTTTCTTTGCCACAACATTGGTTAATTAGAGAGCTGGAAAGGGCCTGATGACAGTGCCCTCTTTGTGCTTCTTATTTATTTATTTATTTTAAAGTACAGTACGAGCTTTTTGAGAGGCCTCATGTTTTCTCTGGCTCTGAACAAATGCCATCACCCAGCACAATCAGCAGCCTGATGGGAACAAAGGATGTCAGCGCTGCTGAACCCTGAATCGCATCCTGGTAGATGGGGAAGAGTGGGACAGGAATCCGAGAAGCACATAACCAGGTGTTGGAAACGCTACAGGGGTGCCTAGAAGGAGTTGTCCGTGTTCAGTTTAAACACCTTGCATTGATAGGATAACACAGGGAATAAAGGCAGGCAAGCAGAAGACTAGGAAGTTTACACTGGTTGGGACACTGCTGGGAGATCCCCAAGTGCCCGCAGGTAGGAGGGAAAGATTTAGAGTGGCTTTTCCTTGGCTCTGTGCAAGCACAGAATTGTGCACATCCCCTGCAGGAAGGGGGCCAGCAGCAGTCTGGCAAGCTGCAGCAGCCCAAGACAAAGAAGCGTTGGGACAAACGAAGCTCAGACATGCCCTGGGAAGGCAGATCCACATTGACGTTTGCTCTACTGCTTTGCTGAAATCGGGAAATTCAACTCCTGCTCCTTCCTACGCTCCTTCCAGATTTCTGGTATTGAAGACTTCTATTTACAGAGATGCTGCACTAAGTTTTCCCATGCTTGCCACAGCTACAAGCTGTATTAAGTTACTACAGCTTGCCTTACAGCTCAGTCCATGCTTCAGTTCTCCCTTTGCAGCTGTTGACAACAGCCGTGAGAACAGACCCAACTATAACTCGGGTCTGTTGGCTTGCAGGCAGTTTTCTCGGTGGGTCCATCTCTGTGAAGGGACTCGTCGAGCCAGCAATCAGCTGATCTGGGCACCAAAAAGATGCAACTCCCCTTGCCTCCAGATGCAAAGCCATACCAAACAGCATCTCAGCTGCAAAACTAGGAACGAGTCCCAGTAATCCCAACGCCGGCTACTGTGCCTGGTGCCAGCACACGCTCCCCACCAGCTCCTTCCACAAGCCCCGCTCCCCAGAACAACGCTCAGAGCACTTCCAGCCAAAGCCCTCGTCTAACAGGAGCTGTTTTTCCCTAAAGCAACACCAGTTCCTTCCAAGTTGCGGTCAGATGTGACTCTGTGCTGATGTAGGCTTCCAGTGTGTTTTTTAGCTGCCTTGGGAAAGGAAAAAAAGTTGTGCTGCCTAAAAACGGCTGTTTTCCTCTGGTGGAAGGCATGTATTTCAATGCGCTGGCATCGAATGGTAATTGAAATCAGGGTGCAAATCATTCACAAAAGTCCTAAGTTACTTACTGTGGGATCTGTCCAGAGAGAGCACTTTGCACAGTCCTGGCAGGGAGCCCCGGGCGACCGGGGGTGTTGGCAGAAGTGGTCGTACCCGTTAATGGCAGCCCGGCAGAGGTAGCACATCTGAGCACCGCAACGGCAGGACATGCGGTTGCAACCCTCCGATTTAATTAGGCCAGTCCCACACTTGTGGCATTTTCTAATTCGGGCGGCTGTCATTTTCTCTTCTCTGCAACACAAGGGGAGGGACAAGAATTAGAGAAGGGGTGTTTGCAGTCACCAGCCTGCGGTAAAATTACTGTTACGCTATCCCAGCGATGCTTTAACCCCGCTTTCCCCAGTGCGCCTCTCCCCCTCCTACGCCATCCCCACGGTCCACCGCTGTTCCAGGGAGGTCTGGGCTCAGCTCCACTTGGAGCCAAACCATGACAACTCAAGAACAAATTAAGTGAAAGAAAGTCAATCACTGGCTGCATGCTGCAGACCCGATCCTGGTTTCCATGTGAGCCAAAACGCCGCAGCGGCAGGCTCTGGCTTGGGAAGAATTTAAGCCGTAAGTCAAAGGGCCAAAGGGCACGTGGATGCTTGACTTGGCTGCGGAGAAATACAGCCTGGGAGATAAAGTTCAGGAAAAGCAAACCCTTGGCTGTCATCTGCTAGCAAGTTTTATGTTTGCCTGTTGCTCTGGCTACAAAGTTGCCACGACCGTATTTTTTACTTTTTTTTTTTCAAACCCTGGCTGCTACACTCCAGATTTATTTGGTTTTTGTTAAATTTAAATCAGTAACTGAAAAATAATCACATCTTTCCCCACAGAGACTGGGTTTTCCCCCTTCTCTTAAGATTCCCTACATACATTTTCCAGAGGTTATTGCTTTAGGTTCAAGAGATGGGATTTACTCTAATGGAGCACTAATGGGAATCCAGGACAAAGCACAGTCCCTGTCCCCAAGAGACATCCTGGCAGCGACACGCGCTCCAGTGCAAAGGCTCAGCTAGCGGCAATGCTATTTTGGCACCGAAATGAAGGAAAGCCTCGGTCATTTAATTAAAAGACTTAAGACTATAAGTTGTCGTCCTAAGGGCCAATTTTCTGACCGCTGGAGATCACATTACAATTTAATTCACAACCTAGAAGTGAAATCTGATGACAGAAGAGTAAAGAGACTGTTTTCATTGAGGGAAGCACAGTTCTCTGGCTGTGCTGACCTGACAGTGGGGAATAATCTTCCTTAGCCAGGCATCTCCACCCAACTACTTAAGCAGACCTGCAAAGTCAACATATGTTTGGGAGATGACAGGAAGGCATTTTTCAGGAGGATTGCAGCAGCAAACCAGGCTACAGCACAGCCCCACAAACCACTCCGTCAGCACAACCGGAGGAGCAGGGAACGGCGAGGTGGGAACTTCAGCTGCCTTGCAGCTACCCAAAGCTCCCACGCAGTTATACCTGGCATGACCTGCACCCAGGCATTTGGAGATACACTAAGAATAGAGATGAAAAAAAACCAACTTGAGCCTGACTTTCCTCTGAGCTGCAGCTGCTCTTCCCTCTGCTACTCGACAGGATGCTGCTGATGCAGATTTTTTTTTGGAAACTTTGAGCAAGGCAGGAAGTTTGGCCTGAACTCCAGCTGTGCTTCCCTTTCCTTACGCAGTGCTTCAAAAGGAAGCTTTTATTGTATCAGGCAGTTAGACTCATTTATCCACAGCGACGTTCTGCTAAAGGTTTTGAAACTGGTATTTTTTTTCCTTATTAGGGACATGGCAACTCATTCCTCCCCCCTCTCACCACTCTTTCCTATCCTACAGGGAAAGGAGTGGCAGAGAAAAAAGTCGTATCAAACTTGTAAAGATTTTGTTCTGAATTAGGGACTGCAGGATGAGCAAGCAACAGTCATTCAGCTTCCCAGTGGTGGAGCTTTCCAACCTCTGCTCATGCCAGACAGACTCTAAATCAGAGAGGGAAGGATTGGGCAATGTGGGCAAGTCCCATTTGACTGCACCAGACATGCAGCTCCACAGATGAGCCCTCCTTCATTTCCTAAAGGCAGAGGATTTTGTCATTTACTGTAGCAACGAAAGAGATCAAACTTAAAAAGATTTTAGAGAAACACTCAGGATTTACACCTGAGTATTTAAAAATGCGACTCCATTCTGTAACAATTCCTACAAACCAGTTAGAGACATTCTTCTGTAAGAGAAGACATCCCCTCCCACGAAGCCAGAAAGCAGTAGCTGAGCAAACTGCCATCGTCTCCAGTCTAGACTTTCAAAGGGTAATAATGACTTACTGTGACTCAATACACTTCTTCCCTCTGTGCCACACCTCCCTTCTCCCCCCCAAGCAACACTGATGGGGGTTTCTCACCTCTGAGAAGGGCCAGGTGCCAGCCTGCGAGACACCGGGCTAGCCAGAGGAACAGGCTGGTCTGGTGACAACTCTCCCACGTTCTCCAATTACCAGCTGGATGTGCTGCCAAGTGTCTTGCACAGAAAGAAATCCCATCCTGGGAGGCTTCTGACCCCTCCGCTTTGACAGCTCTAGGACCTCCCTGATGGAAGGTAGTGACATCCAGCAGAACTTTAGGGCCTCTGCTAGTCACAGGGACAGAGGGGTTTCTCATCCCCTCCACATCAGAGTGCATCGCCTAGTGTATTGCTATTACGAGTTCATCCACCTCCCCATTTTTGCCTGGTTGTGGAGTTTACTTACATGGACGTCCTGTATCTGATGTCATCCTTCTCAGCCAGCTGCTCGCAGGTGAGGTTCATGTGCTCCTTCCACAGCCCCTGGCATTTCCGACACGTTTCCTGAGGAGGATAACAACAATTAAAGGAAGAGAAGACCCAGCACACCATTAACAGCATTAGGAATTGGAAGAATTCCCATCTCTTTGCCCACCACGCTGCGGGTTCTCAGTTGAGGATGGGGCTGGCGGTATGGTATAGAGGTCTGCAGGTCTGTCCTCCACCAGAGACTAGAGTAAGTCCATCAAATAACGGGAGCCACGGGTTTTTCCGAGGCACAAGAACCCAGGTACAAAATGAGTCCATAAATCCTAGTTCACCTAAAACTCATGGAACAGCTGCCAGGTCCACCAGTTACTTCCCAGAGGAGACTGCAGAGATGAAAACGTGGTGCTAAAGGACATCAAGTTCATCTGTTTCCTGACCAAAATCCTTCACCTTGGTATAAAGGGCTTCTAGTTCAGCAGGCAACAGAAACCTTGCAGCTGCCTCAAAAACTCTGCTTCACCGTACATACAGAAAAATCCATATTATGCTTTGTAAAACCTCACAAAATAAAGTTAAAGCAGTCTACGTGAGTAAACAGCTTAAAAAGGCAGGATGTGGACAAATGTCCATAAAGCAGAGGTGGAATATGAACAAACATTTATGAATTTAACCAGAATAGCTGAAATAAACTTAGAGCAAGTGACTGAACTCTCCTGTTCTTGTAAACTTTTTAGCAACAAGGCTCTAATCTGGGACTGGTAAAGCTCCATGGAGCGGGAGGGCTGTGGAGGCACTACTGGCAAGGGAACTTGGACTAACACTGGGGATAGAGTTGATTTTTTTTTGGTTGGCTAGCCAAAGAAAACATAATTTTGTTTTGGGTCAAACAAGAGATTTTCCTTTAATTTGAGGAAGATTAAAAAACATCCAGATCAAACTTGGAAAAAGTACACGTTTCACGATCCAACTGTTTCATCTTCAGGATGGCTGGGGCTCAAGCTTTTTAAATCCAACTTTCTCCCCCTGGCAGGAAAACCCATTCGGCTGTGAAGCATCCTCTTCCCCTCCACACCAAAGAAGGTCCCAGAAGAGCTTTGCCCAGTTCTGGTCCCACTATTAGCAAAAGACGATGACTGCAGAGACAGATCTTAATTGATTGCATTACCTTCATCTCATTTTAATGAAGAAATTGGACCTTTACGCCAGATACGATAGAAGTAACTGCTTAAAGAGACACGTAGGCAGCAACACTCTTTTGATCGCGAATCAGACAAACAGGATGAAGACTAAAGCTTCTAAGGAAGCCACCCCTCGGAGGGGAGTGCAAAATGTTGACTTGTGTGTATTTGCGCTCACTGGGAGATGTGTAAGAGCTTGTGCTTTCATCTGGAGAATTAAAGGCTCCTCATCCTGGCTGGTAAGCCGGACATGTTTGCAGACTGCAGGGTAAGGGCTGTAGTAAGAGGAGAGCCAAGCGTGTGACTCTGTCCCAAAAGCTCAGCAGAGGATTTTGTGATCACTCTCCTTGCAAATGCACCCTTTGGCAGGCAGGCAGTAGTTTCAAGGGGCAGTAAATGCCTCGGTTCTATTGATCCTGATGAATCATTCATCATACCGTGTGCTTTCCTGCTAAAGCTGTTAAAACAGGCACCATTTTGTGTGCATTTGTTGGCAGGCCACGTCTGGCTGTTATCGGCACGGGAGGATCAGACTTGGACCCACCTTCCCCTTTTATTCTCGACACCCGGCCACATGCCATTCCAAGATCAAAAGTGCCGTAGGTTTTGTTTTTTTACATACATCAAGGGTTAAAACCAGTCTTTGGAGCCCTGCTACACAGAACCACTTTCACACGCCAGCAACAAAGATTTAACAGCTTTTTGCCAGAAGGGTTGGCACAATTTCCAGCCAGGAGCCTACTATTCCCAATTACTTAACTCCAGGAGCCTCCTTCGCTGCCGAATTAGAAACGCTGCCCTTCTGAAGCAGATGGTGCCGCTTATACTTTTGTACCAAGTCACTCCCTTTGCCTTTTGCTACTGCCACCATCCTTGCTTTGCACGCTGCAGCTATTTAAAAAACAATGCTCTCCCTTAAGCCGAGGCTGCTGTTATTTGCCAAACAGTTGTCTCCTACGCTCAGGAAACGGGATTTCTGTGCAGGCGAGAAAAGGGAAAAAGGCATGGCAATGCAGATTCCCAAACGCGCTGGGATGGCATGAGATAGGAAGTATCCGGTTCTCTGCATTACTGTGACCGCTGCACAACGAGTGCCGTCGCAGCTGTGCGCATTTCTGGGATCCCTCCCAAGACGCGTTGGCCACGAGGATCTGCAAACCCAGGGGCAGCTCTGCCTGCCTGTTCCAATGCACCCCCACGAAGGAGATGTCCCCGCGGCTTCCCAACTTCGAGCATCACCTGGTGCTGCCTCTGACCGAGCCACGTCCTCTCCAGAACAGAAGGAGGGCAAAAATGGACAATACACGTGCCATTAGCAGAACTCAACGCGACTTCTCCCCTTGTTCTACCCCAGACAATGGCACATTGTTGGCAGTTACAGGGACCCGTGCTGGACCCCTTTGCACAAAAAGGGGGAGAAAGCCCACAGTTGAGACAAAGGCAACGGCTCCAGTGCCATAACTGAGGTCACAGCTCTCGCCCGAGAAAAGAAAGGTGACTTTTTAAAATTTTTACTCTTAGTCAAATTCAACCCGCGCGGCTGATGAGAGTTTTGCACTTCTCACGTGATGACAATTCTGATCTCTACATTTTCCACAGGGGGTTCTTTTATTTTAGAAACAGCTTTTTGTTTGATAAAGAAACATACTCTGCCATTACCATGTTAATTAACCTAAACACACAGTAGGATAGCTGATTTTTTGCAATCAGCCTAGATTATTTCTATTGTAAGAGCAGCACTTGGCACTAAGACTGGCTACTGCAATGTGAGGCAGCACCTAAACACACACAGAGGGAATGCATCCTTCCCAGCCCGAAATCTTCTACTCCAAGCGTAGCAGACAAAAAGCAATCAGTCCACCAAAATAAAAACCCTGCCCAACTTCTTCAGCACCTTGTCCATTAGCAAACCCTGGCCTACTCACGTTGGGGTACCTGACGTGGGAAAACACGCTTTGTTTTAGTTTTAACAGCTTTGCATTTCATTTCTGGATGGTGTGAATTCCACGTGTTTCTCCTGCCTTTCCCCAGCCCACTCCTCCTCGCAGGCAGGTACAGCTAACGTAGCTCACGCTTTCGGTGCGAGGGGCAGCGTGTTTGCACGAGCCCTGGCGTTAGCAAACGGCTCCAAACCAGGCACGGATGCAGGAGATTAAGTATCTGCTGCCTGTTACATCTGCCCGAGCCTGGCAGGCAGCCTGGGACAGTCCATTAATGCGCCGGGCTGGGACGGCGGAGAGGAGGATGTGATGGAGAGGGTGTTTAATCGTACAGTGTAATCTCCTCACTGTACATCTGTTAGAGGTAGTGGCTCCGTTTCCTCTCGCTGGCCGCCAGGAAGCAGCCGGGATTAACACAAACATGTTTGGGTTCAGGAGGATCCTTTGTTCCCAGGGTCAGCCGTGCGGATACGAAGCTTTCTGTGCTCAGGGCCAGCCTGGCTAAGGGTGGCCAGTTTGCTTTTAGCACTGGCATCGCAATCTTTAAACGTCCTTGTTAATTGTCCCAGCACCTAATGAAGGTAGAAGGGAGGGTTTTATGGGAACCTACCTCCTTCCTCAGCACTTCTGCTGGTACTTGCAATGGATGCTGCAGTTTTAAAACACAGCCTAAACTTTTTTTTCCACTCTGCTATCTACTAAAAATAACTCTCCAAGGTCCAACCCACATATCAGGGGGAAAAAACCTCCACAAGTAATCAACTTCTCCCCGCCAGTCTCCACGTCCTTTTGGCTACAGTCAGGCTGTTGTGCGCACTGCCGGCAACGTAGATGCGCCAGCTTTCCTGGTTTCAACCCAAACAAATGCCACATGGACAAAAACATCAGATGATACGCACAGATCGCGGACCGACTGCCCACAGCATTCCTGCGTGCCCGCTTCTTCTGTAGGAGTTTACACCAAGCCGTTTACTGATTGAGCAAAACGCAAAAGGAGAGGGGAGAAGCTCAACTTAAACAACAACAGGCGATGGACTAGGCTGTCATCACCGCCCTCCAGCTCTCAGTGGTGGCTCTGAGCGGAGTCCAGCGCTCGCCTTAGTTCTCCATATGGTGGTTAATTAAAACCTTTTGCCGCTGTGCCGTGCGACTCCCTGCGTCCCCCAGGAAGGGCGAGTTGCACACTCCAGCGGTCTCTGCCGATTGCACACACGGGGACATTTGCTGCTGCGCTCCCTGCTAGGAGCGGGAGGGAGGTAAAACACACTGTGTATCCCCTTCGACGCTCGCTGGGACGCAGCCCCGGTGATTGATTCTCTGCTTCTTCCTGCTTTTAGACACACAATAGCACAGGCTAACCTCAAACAGGCCAAGTTTTACCCAAAAGCAGATGTGAATGCAATAGTCTTAGAATAGCACCTCAGGGCCAGTCCATACTGCGCTGGTTTAATTAAAGGGCTGCAATTCCCAACCAGATGAGTTAATGGGAAAACAAAGAACCATACAGTCTTCCTCCCCACAAAGTCTCCACTGTCCATAAAGCTGCACTGACCTTAACTAAAAATGGATGCAGAAGTAACTAAATGAATACAACCTTTAAGCATGGATAAGCCCTCACGAGCAAAATCTTTTGGGGCTGTTTCTGGGATTTCCTATACGTTAAGCTAGGTTAAAGAGACTATAATCCAGCCCAAGCCAATCCCATTTTGGTGAGAGACCCCTCTTTAGAGCTGTACAAACACCCAGCACAGGGAAGCGGGACCCCAACTCCGCAGGTATCCGACCGCCCAGTACAGAGAGCGCTCCTTTCAGCACAAACTGCTGCGCCAGCTCTCCGCTCCCGGAGCTGTCGGCATCACCGCACGCAACGGGGCAGATAGTCAGCAGGTACCGACCCCAACCGCACAAAATCCACGCAGCGCGGAGAAACGAACGTCGTGCCTCGGATAGACGATGG